TCACAATTCTGGAGGCTGGGAAGTCCAAAATCAAGGTGCTGGTAGATTCAGTGTTTGCTGAGGGCCACTTCCTGGTTCATGGACTGCAATTTTTTCACTGTGTTCTCATATGGTATAACGGGATGGGAGCTCTCTAGGACCTCTTTTATAAGCAAACGAATCCATTAATGTAGGCAGAGGCCTCATGATCTAATCATGTCTCTGAAACCCTCAAGATGGGTTACATTTCAATACTATGAATTTTGGAAGGGACATAAGCATTCCATCCATAGCACCACTCTATCACACTCAATAATGAAAGACTGAATTCTTTCTTCTTAAGATCAGGAACAAAAGAAGGATCTCTGCCTTCACCACTGCTATTCAACATCATACTGGAGGTCTTAGCTAGTCTAATAAGAAAAAAGACGGAGGGAGTTATATACAAATTGAGGAGGAATAAAACTGATCTATATTTGCAAATAACACGATTGTCTGCATAGGACAATTCCAAAGAATCTACAAAAATTTACTAGAATAAATACATTTAGCAAGGTTTCAAGAATCAAAGTCAACATCCAAAAATCAACTGTATTTTTAAATATAGTAGTAAACAACTGTAAACTAAAATTTAAGAAAATTATCCTTTATAATAGTATCAATTATTAAATATTAGATATAAATCTAACAAAATGAGCAACATCTTTATGCTGCAACTACAAAATGCTGACAAAGGAAATGAAAGACCTAAATAAATGGAGACAACCTGTGTTCATGAATTGGAAGACTCAAGATGTCAATTCTTCCTAAATTGATCTATGCATTCAACACAAGCTAAATTAAAAGCCCTTCAGGACTTTTTGTGGAAACCAAGAAGCTGCCTCTAAAAGTTTTACGGTAAAGCTAGAATAGCCAAGGCAATTTTGAAAAAGAATAAAGTTCAGTGAGTCATACTGCCTAATTTCAACACTTACTATAAAGTTAAAAAAAAAAAACAAAAAAAAAACACATGACAACTTCAAATTAGTATTAGCAAAATTATAGGCACAAACATCAAGAGAATAGTACAGAAAGATTCACATATATGGTCAACTGATTTTTGACAAAGTTAATTCAATGAGGAAAAGAAAGAAGTCCCAACAAATGGTGCTAGAATTACATATACATTTGAGAAGAAAATGAGCCTTGACCCTTATTACACACCGTATATGAAAACTAACCCAAAACGGATAATGTACCTTGACATAAAAGCCAAAACTAGAAAACTTATAGAAAATCATAAGAATAAATCTGCATAACTTTGCATTAGGCAAACAGTTCTTAGAACACAGAAGCACAAATCATAAGAAAAAGTTGATTAGCTGAATTTATCAAAATTAAAAGCTCTTCTTTTAAAGCTAGGAAAATGAAAAAAAAAAAGGCTTCAGATTGTAGCATGTATGTGTTTATGTCTCTGTGTGTCAAATGAGTTGTATAAAGAATGTATTAAAAAATGCATACAATTCAGTAAGACAAACTACCCATTTTTTTTTAAATGAGCAAAAGATGTGAATGGATACTTCACAAAAAAAGACATACACTCGAGCAAATTCTCACACCGTCAGTCATCTGGTAAACGCAAATTAAAATCCCAGTATGATACTACTACATACCCACTAAAACAGCTAAAATTTAAAAGACTGAAATAACCAAATGCTGAGAATGATGTGGAGCAACTGCAACTGTCATAAACTGCTGCTGGATATGTAAGATGGGACAACCACTCTGGAAAACAGTTTGGCAGTTTCTTATAACATCCCCTTATCATACAACTCAACAAGTTCCATTTTTAGGTATTTACCAGGAGAAAAAAATGTCCACAAAAATTCAGAATAAATGAATGTTCACTGAATAAATAAATGTTCAATAAATGAAGGTTATTAATAACAGCCCCAAACTGGAAACAATCCAAGTGTCTGTAAACAGGTGGACTGGTCAAAAAACTAGTAAATCAATACCATGGACTACTATTCAGCAATAAAAAGAGATGAACCAGTTAAGTATAGAAAAACATGGATAATCCTGAAAAACATGCCAAGAGAAAAAGCCAGATACAAAGAGTATATATTAAATAATTCCACTTATATGAAATTCTAGAGAAAATGATACCAATTTATGGCAACAAAAAGAGGATGAGTGCTTTCCTAGTACTGAGGGTGAAATTGTGATTGACTGTAAAATGCAACTTTGGGGAAGATGAAAATATTCTATATCTTAATTGTGGTATGAAAATATTCCACTTTTTTTTTTTTTTAAAACATCCGACTTTTGACCGTGGTGGTGGTCACAGAGTACACATGTGTCAAAACAAAATACACTGTACATTTCAAATAAGTACATTTTATTGCATCTAAGCTATCCTCAATAAGGTTGATTTCCTATGAGGGTACTCTCACAGGAAAATATAAACCAGGGAATATTGGTGATGCCCACATATACCTACCTCAAAAGATGTCAAAAAATATACATAAGAAAACTCATTTATGGTTTTTTAAAATGTCAAAAACAGCAACAACAACAATATAATCATCTTGGAGAGCCAAGACTAGAAGGAAATATTTTAATATTGGAGGCTTTACCAGAAAGCTTCAGTAAACTTCATAATTAATGCTAAAACATTAGAAGCATTCCCCTTTAAAGTAAGAAAGACCATGTTTTCAGCTATCAGTGCTATTAGCTTTTATCTGCCAGGGCTCAGTATCTTATAGGATGTGTAACTGCAAAAGCAATGAGAAAAACATGTAAGTTACAAAAATTAAAAAGGAAACCACAAAACTATGACTATCTCCTGATAATCAACTCAATAAAATAATTTGATACATAATCAACAGAAAACTCAAAAGCTTTCCTATAACTAGAAAAAAGAGAGAGAAATGTTACTGAAAGTCTCCATCCACCACACCAATCAAACCATAAAATAGCTAGGAATACTGGGAAGAAATGTTACACATATGAAGAAAAACTGTAACTTACCCTAAGAATATAAAAGAAGATGTGAATAAAATGGAGAGGCCACATTCTGAGGAGACAGACTCAATACTATAAAGTCCAGGTCTCTCCAAATTAATCTAAAATTTCAATATAACCTTATTCAAAACAGCTAAGGATTTTTAGTTGAGTCTAAAGTTTATCTATAAGAAATGCATAAGAAACAGCAGACAATATTTTCAACAACAGTAATAAAGAGGGAGAAAGGGTTATCAAAATTTAAAATATGCATAATCTTTAACTGAGCAACTCCACTTGTAGAAACCCATGCTTCAGAAATAATCACACATAAAGGAAGTTTACTGAATTGTTTTAACAGTGCTGACTGAATCAGGATGCAAGCAGGACCACAAATGGAAGCTGTACCTTTTACTTTACATTCTTACACACTGTTTAATTTTTTTAAATCAAGGAAGAGTTAAAGTTTGCTATTAAACATCGATCAATAAATTGGAAAACTATTTTCATTACAAATTATTTGTGACAGCAAAAAGAAACTGCAATTAATTTAAATGTCTTTAAATAAGGGAATAAATTACTTATAGCCCATTCAAATTGATGAGATACCAGTTAGCCTTTTAAAAAGTATTAGGGAGACCTATATTTAACAAGGAAAGATGTTTAAGATATAATTAAGTCAATAAGCAAGTGGTATGCAAACATGTTTGTTATAGCCTCCCTCAAAAAACAAAACAAACCTTTACATGTACCTGTATGTGTTTAGAAATATATTTGTAAGAGGATTTTGAAAAATGAACACTAATCTATCAACTTTATCCTGGAGTGGGACTGGGGGATGAAAAGAAATATCCAAATTTTACCTAACGGTCCGTTATTTATATTGTTGACATGTACACCAAATTTGCATGTCTGTAATGAATTTTTAAAATTAAGTGGTTATCTCATACAAAAATGACATGAATCCCAGAAGACAATCACAACACTGAAAAATATAGATTAAACGTTTATTACTGTTATCCTCAGGTTTATTCACATACACTTCAAATGATCTGTAGCCTTCGGCAAAGGTGACTGCCATTTTAAAGAAATGTGACCAAATATTACATGATAAAACAGAATACATTAAGCCTGTAATGAAAATTTTAAACTTCACAGAACCAGCAGACTCCAAAGAAGCGCCTATGCGGATGTAAATGTTTTTTTTTTTAAATGTCCAGAGAGAGAACTCTCAGATTAATCTTCCTGCAAAATGACTATTTATCACCTCCCCTTTGCTTCAACTTGGTCTGAGCGTCTTTAGGCTCACCATTTTGAATGTGCGCAAAATGATTAACAGTCATCTGAGAGAGGCCAAATTAAAAGTGCATCTGCGAGAGGACCTCTGGCCTGACATTGCTAACTGGGAGCAGCCCTGGAGGAAGGGTGCTGATCCCAGGAGTAGAGCGACTGCTGCGGCTCCTGTGAGCTATCTGCGTGCCGAGCCTCACTGACAATCGGGGAAAATGCAGACGCCCAACAGAACGAATACGGCAACGGAAGGCTCCTCGGGGGAGGGGGGCTGCAGGCCTGTGGCGTAGTATGGTTCCGCTCTACGCAGGGTGACTGGAAACCAGCAGAAGGCGGGTGTGAGGTGTTGGTTGCGGGGCACACTCTTAGACAGTGGCGAGTGTCGGGGGAAGGCAGCGGGGTCCTTGGCCAAGTCACCAAGGACAGCAAAAGCAGCAGCGGGAAAGAGCGGCAGCGGAGACCCCGGATACTAACCGATGTCATCCGTCGGGGGTTGGCGGGCGCGACGGTCCCGGACAGGAGCGCGGCCCGAGTCAGGGCTGGACAGGGCCCAGAAGGCGAAGAAGGCCTCCCACGGCCATCAACCCCACCCACCATGGCCGGCGCAGCGGGCCAGGGACAGGCCTCACTCCTTCCCGAGGAAAGAGACAGAGAAACTGAGGCGCTGAACGCAGCAATTTCCACGCCCCGACCCCCACATTCACGACAGCGGAACAAGCCAGATTGAAAAAAAAAAAAACCCTCACCGAAATGTGCAGCGGCTCCGGAGCGAGAACAGCGCTCGAACCTCCACCCGCCACCACCGCCTTCTTCTCCGCCTCCGACTCCTCCCCCGCCGAACGCGCAGCGGCTGGCGGCTGGCGGCTGCGGCGGCGACGGCGGCGGCGGCGGTGGCGGCGGCGGCGGAAGCAGAGGCGGTGCCGGTGAGTCCCGCCCCTTGCGCCTCGGTGGAGGCGAAGGCGGAGAGTACGCAAGCCCCGCCCCCGTGGCAGAGCTGACCAATAGACGTACAGGGCTTCTGCTGGGGGACAATCCATACGCCCAATCGGAACCTGAGGAGTGGGCTCACGTCAATGGTTGGGACGTGGCAGAAAAAGGGAAAATACTTGGAAGGTCTCTACGGCCTGCTCCCCCATATCCCTCAAGGGGACGTCACCAATTGGCTGAAGAGCGGAAAGACGAAGCCGACTACGTCCCCGCCTAGCAGGGCCCACCTCCTTTCCCTGCAGCACTGCGACGTTTGGGGAGGGGGCGGAGCGCTGTGTTGGAGCTGAAACAGCGCGGCCTTTTGTGGTTTGGGCTGAGAGAAAAGGGCGGGGTCTTAGGGAAAGGGAAGGGGGTGTGGAGAACTAACAGAAAGACTGGCGCAGTTAGGCTTTTTCGGAAATTCCAACAGCAACAACTAAAATGGAGGTATTAAAATCGATCCTGATTTTATTGGAAACCTGATTAACAGGGTTAGGGTCTCCTGGCATAAAGTTCAGTTACAATTCAGATATCGATGGGAGAGAAAAAAAATAACAGGAGGAAGGGATCACTTACCCACCCTGATCCCGGGTATTATGTGGCGCTTTCCACCCTCCCGTCGCTGACCCTTGCCCCTCGCTTCTGATTCTGCTGGGGCGGGGTTCAGAGGAGGCCTGCCTTTCCTCTCTATAGCCTTGGCAGGACCACAGCCTTCCAGCTTGTATCTTAAGGCTGATCGTTTGTCAAGCCGGGAAGTAGCAGCTCCCATCACATGCAACCAAATAAATACAACAGCTGTAGTCCCCGGACACCTTGCTTAATTTAAACCTGGGTAACAGTTTAGTTAATTATGTCAGTGACACAAAATTGTTTCTTCGTTCCGCACACGTTCTCTTTTTTCATCTTGAAACATGTCCGCTTCTCTGATTACAGTCCAGAGCTCCATGTTCACTTATTGCCCACCCCCGAACCCGTCGCGCAGTGCCCTGGATAGTCATTGCGGCCCCTCCCCCACGGATTAAGAGGCCCACTTCGTGTACTGTACCCTTGACAACTGCAAACTCTCTTGCCAGTGAACTGAGACTAATTTTTTCGCTGTTAATGGAAACAAATTATCCAAAATTTACTGTAGAAATTTAGCTTATGAGAATTTGCCACACGTTTTGTGAAATTCAATCTGAATCCCAGCCCACTCCTGTAGTATATATCTTACCAAGAAACCATTCCTCACTTGATATTACTCTGCCTTTACACATGTTGCTGTAGGAGTTCTGACTCTAACCATCCAAGTACGTCCCTTTAGGGTGTTCCAGATTGGTCAAATTGGATAAATTAACCTGTTCTGGAAGGCAGGGATTTCCAAATTTCAACCTTTTTCACACTGTATCTGTGTATATTACTCACTATCATTTTTTCTTCAAATAAATGTGTATTTTCTTTAATTTCTTTAAGAGGGAGATTTTATAAAAATAGTGTAAATGGAAAACTATCATCACCTATCATAAGCTGAAAGTAACTGTAAGAAAAATGGATGCCCATTGTGGAAGACAGTGTGGCGATTCCTCAAGGACCTAAAAATAGAAATTCCATTTGACCCAGCAATCCCATTACTGGGTATATATCCAAAGGATTATAAATGGTTCTACTATAAGGACACATGCACAGGAATGTTCATTGCAGCTCTGTTTACGATAGCAAAGACCTGGAACCAACCCAAATGTCCATTGATGATAGACTGGACAGGGAAAATGTGGCATATATACACCATGGAATATTATGCAGCCATCAAAAACAATGCGTTCATGTCCTTTGTAGGGACATAGATGAACCTGGAAACCTTAGCAAACTGACACAAGAACAGAAAATCAAACACCACATGTTCTCACTTATAGGTGGGTGTTGAATAATGAGAACACATGGACACAGGGAGGGGAGCATCACACACTGGGGTCTGTTGGGGGGAACTAGGGGAGGGACACCGGGTGGTGGGGAGTTGGGGAGAAATAGCAGGGGAGAAATGCCAGATATAGGTGATGGGGAGGAAGGCAGCAAATCACACGGCCATGTGTGTACCTATGCCACAATCTTGCATGTTCTGCACATGTACCCCAAAACCTAAAATGCAATTAAAAAAATAAAAAGAAAAATGGATGCAAAACAATGTTCTTGAATTGTGGCTAGAAACTGTTGCCCACTAAAGGCACTAAGTCTAACTCTCTTTGTTAAAAGGGCGAGTTACCAAGCATTAGACACACATTGAAAATACAGCACTCAAATGATATTTTTATCATGATGTCATTAAAGGATAGCAAAAATAGAGCCAGAATAGCAATCACTTTCTCACTATATGAATCATTGTTTTTAATCCTGCATGCATGTCGCAACTACAGTTAACCAAGGCATCATCAGTGAACCATGTTACTCTGAGAAACGCTGGTATGGAGGCTGAAAAAGCCTGTACTCCAGAATCAAACAAACATATTCACATACTGGCTCCTGCATTTGTAGCCATGTGACTCTGTGCAATCTGCTTTGTTCTCTTACCTCAATTTCTAATTTATTATAAATATGGGAAAGTAATAATACTAATTCATGAGTTGTATAGATTAAATAACCCAATCAATGTAAAGCATATCATACCTACAATGAAGTACTAAATACATTTTAGCTTATGTATTGTATTATTATATAGAGGTAATAGTATATATTATTAGCTTATATGTATTATTGTTAATTCCAGGATTGGAAAGTACTACCTAAGGCAATGGATTGAAGGTACTACATGATATACTGCAGTGGTTCCTAAAGAGAATTATAATTCCTACACCAACAGCATCAGCATTACTTGGGACCTTTTTTTAACGGCAGATTCTAGCCACCTTGGCGGCTCTTGCCTGTAATCCCAGTACTTTGGGAGGCCGAGATGGGCAGAATCACTTGAGGTCAGGAGTTCAACACCAGCCTGGCCAACACGGCAAAACCCCATCTCTACCCCAAAATACAAAAATTAGCTGGGCATGGTGGCACACACCTGTAGTCCCAGATACTCAGGAGAATCGCTTGAACCCTGGAGGCGGAGGTTGCAGTGAGCTGAGATTGTGCCACTGCACTCCAGCCTAGACACAGAGCAAGACTGTCTCAATAAAAATTAAAATAAAAACCAAATAAATACATAAAATGCAAATTATCAGGTTCAACCTCAGATTTGAAGCAGAAACTCTAGGTATATTGCACAGGTATATTTTTTTACAAGTCTCCCGGCTAATTCTGATATACATAAAATCTGAGGACCACTAATTTAAATAGAAGAAGTCTTGGTCAAGGAGTGAGAGGATCTGTGTTCTAATCATAGCCTTGGAGAGATGTCAGCCAAAATGAAGATGTAAGGACCTCTGAAAATTCTCTTCAGCAGCGAGAACACTGGCAAAACTGTCAGAACTAACTTTTACAGCACTCTGAGAATTTACCAAATATTTGCAGAAATCCAGGGAGCATTTATTCAAACAGCGGAATCTCTAAGAAAAGTTAGTTTTGGGCCATTTTGACTTGCCCATCTCTAATAGCAACATGTCCTGCTCCACCGTAGCTTTGAAAACCAGCAGCCCACAATTGTGAAAATGAGGCGGCTGGTAGCCAGCAGGGGAAGTAGAATGGTGTTGGAGCTCTTTTAAAGAGTCTAATTTCCAGAGAACTGTCATTATTTGACCTATCTGGTCGTTCTGCAGATCTTGCAAGGCTGCTGTTACTTGATTTCACTCCAGACTCACCCAGTGCAAAGACTTTTCCCCAGGGGTCATTTGTCAAAAGCAAAAACATTGATTAGCTTTGCCACTGTCTTAGGCAGTGGAAACAGTTGGGGACAAAGACAGCTTAACCAAACACTTGAAAATGTTGTAGGGCAGGTGGGCCCCAAAACTGGGGCTTAGCCCAGGAAGGTTCTTTGCTTCACCCAGGGAATAATTCAATGGCAAGGTGCTGGTGTTAGATAGCAATTTTTGTTGAACTGGCAGTGTACAGCAGCAGCAAAGATACTGCTCCTTCCAGAGCAGGGCTAACCCATGGGCAGTGTGCCCAGAGTAGCAGCATATGGGCTGTTGGAAGCTGTATTTATATTCACTTTTAATTATATGCTAATTAAGAGGTGTGTTATTGAAACTTTCTAGAAAAGGGGTGAGGATTTTTTGGACCCATATAAGGTAACTTTCAGGCCATTGCCATGGCTCATTGCCATGGCATTTGTAAACTGTCATGGTCCCAGTGGGAGTGTCTTTATACTAATGAACAGTGTGGGCAGCTAGAGGTCAGTTGTGTTGCCCTTTGCTGGTTTCAGCCGGCTTCTTTACTGCATTCTGTTTCTATCAGATCCTGCTCTGATAAGCGCAGTAGTGACAGGGGCAGTCACCAGTGCTCAGAAAACAAGTCCTGCTGATCTCCTACCTCAAAAAGAAACGCTGGAGAATGAGATGTCCATAGGAACTTTGGAAAACTCTGATATGATTTGTCTATGTCCCCACCCAAATCTTAAATTTCCATGTGTTGTAGGAGGGATGTGGTGGGAGGTGGTTGAATCTTGGGGGCAGGTCTTTCCTGTGTTGTTCTCATGATAGTGAATAAGTCTCACAAGGTCTGATGGTTTTAAAAAAGGGAGTTTCCCTACACAAACTCTTTTCTCTTGTCTGCTACCATATGAGACATGACTTTTACCTTCTGCCATGATTGCGAGGCGTCCCCAGCCATGTGAAACTGTAAGTCCAATAAACATCTTTCTTTTGTAAATTGCCCAATCTCAGGTATGTTTTTATCAGCAGTGTGAAAACAGACTAATACAGTGACTTGGTACCAGTAGAGTTGGGCATTGCTGAGAAGTTAACTGAAAATGTGGAAGTGACTTTGGAACTGGGTAAAAGACAGAGGTTGGAACAGTTTGGAGGGCTCAGAAGAAGA